GAGAAAGACATTAGCATTTACTACCTTAATCCTGCTAGGAAAACCCTACTGCAAAGCCCATTAAATGACATTCCTTGAAATATCTTAAGATATTTTTTTTTTCTCACAATTACCCCTTACTTTTGATCTTTCATATTTCTCACACAAGGACAACTCAGCATGCTCTGTTTCCACATCAGTGAAATGAATTCATTCTAATGGTGACAGTAGTCCTGTGTAAACGAGCATCAGGATCATTATTATAGCATAAAAATGGTGCAGTGTTAAGTACGTGTACATTAAGGCTTTTGCATGAGCAAGAGTTAATTTGAACAACTATTTAGATGAATTTTTTCTTAAAAGTTGCTAGAGATAAAATATTGGGCAATGCCAACTTCATCTGTATTCAACGGGCACTGATGAGAAATTATCAGGTACCATAACCACCACTACTGTCCTCATTTTTAACACTACTTATTTCCTCCATCTGCATACACTGCAGCGATGTCACTCTTAGAAATCATTATTATAGCTGACAGACTAGCTGATTGATTTGGCCAAATAATTGTAAGCTTGTTTAAGAGGATTAAAACAGCTTTACATTGATTTAGCAATATAAGGTACTTTTAATCAGTTTAAAGAGCATCCATACGAGGTGGCTGTATCAATTTAACTGATGTGATACAGTTAGATTGATGCATCAATCACCTGCTAAACTGATCGGTTAAATTGATACACCTCTGTGTACAGAAAACATGATCTTAAACGCACAACTTGCTCCACAGATAAGAAGCAGAGGTCCCATAAGATATTTTTACATTCTCACAGTTTGATATGCATCCTCTCTGTGTCTCAGGTTTCCTGTATTTTTAGGGCTGCCATATTTACTTGCAGAATTTCAGACAGCAATATGTGAGCGGATGCTATATGGTTTTTCCAATAGTTTGAGGGAGCAGCAAACATACTGCACACAGAGTGCACTGATGATTGGTATGTGTACCATAAATCTGTCATTTCCTGAACTTATCAGGCTTACTATACGACATATATCAAACTTCCAAGGAGGTTCACACTTTCAGCATGTGTACTTCTACTGCAAAAGTATTCCGAAATTCCTACACAGGCCAGACAAATGTCCTCAAATTCCTTTCAGACAAAATTTCTGACCAGGGAAATAAAATATACATGGAAAACTTTAGGTATATTTGACCTCTACTATAGAACAGAGTTTTACAGTTCTCCCATTTGTAAGCATTACCGCAATGCTATGAATCACAAGTGATTTTACCATATCAATCCCAACAGGGTAGCACTAAGAGTAAAGCATAGCATACGAAAATTAGTATTTTATATTAATGAATACACGACACACAATTTTCCCAAACTGCAAGAGAACTCACACAAATCTCATTTTCAGACACTGCATGCTCGCCTAGGTCAGTCTGTTCTGCTCCCCCGCAATAGTTACAAAGAAACTGTCTGATACCTGGATAACAAGGCTTTTTCACCATCTGCAAATTTTTGATTTGTGTATTCCCAGCATTGACAAAAGAAAATTTGTAATGCGGCAGGAGTGGAGGAAGTAGATTCTTAATGGTTAATAACTCAGGATTTGTCACTTAGCTCTCTTCAAGAGATTGCCCAGAAACCCATTGTTTCATCTTCCAGCTTGTTTCCCATCAAATTACTATTAAATTATTCATAAATTATTACACAGTTGCTTCACATCCCTGCAATACTAATTTCAACAGTTTCAAAGAGCCTGTAATACTAGCTTTCAGGTTTAAAAAAGCATATAAGCAGCAGTAAAATATACAGTACGGATTAATAAAATTAAAATCCAAGACGAGTTTTCCTTTTCTAATATAAACTCTAGACTCACTACCCCTCCCGGAACTCAGCAATATTCCGTTAGCATCAGTCACTAGCACACCTATCCCTTTGAACACACAGAAATATAATACACAGACAAAAATAACCACCAAGACTCTTGGCATTTCAACAGTTTCCTAATAAATTAGGAAAGAAAAAAAAAATTATCTACATTTTTTGATGTTACAGCTAAGCCCTTTAGTCTCTAAATAAAACTAACCGTGCAGGCAAAAACACAGGATGGCTTCATAACTGTTTCAGGAAAGGATAAATGAGCACAACTTGAGATAATAACTAATCAAAGTGCAAGTACTGTGCCATTAATGGGTGAACTGCTAAGTAGTCAAAGAGAAATAAAACTGTCATTGTAGGCTAAAAAGATAAGGAAAAATAAGCAATATTTAGAATTTTATCATGAGGAAAACAGTATTAAGCATAAGTCTATGTAAAAAGAAGTCATATTCATATATTAGAAAAGACAAATCTCAGTATTCATTAAGTTAGTCCACTGAAGTAAACGTAATTGAGAGATGAGCATTTACTTTTCCAAAATGTATCATGAAAATGAATGGCACGAAGGAAGTGCAGACATTCTGCGTATCTAGTCCCTTATGCTGCATCAGGACCATTAAAACCACATGAATTATTTTGTCAAACTGCTTAGGAAGTTCAGAGATGGTCTTAAAATAGTCATTTATCTCCAACTTTGTATGAACAAGGCTACTTTATTCTCTTTAAACCTTAATTAGTGTACTTAAAATGTAAGCTGTGTTATCAAATATAATTAGTCATATTTCAGGGTGGGGGTATTTTGAGCTTTAAAATGACTTACATGCTGCTGCTTGGTATAATCTTGTGCCCGTCTCTAAACCATGTCACTTGTGGTCTTGGATAGCTGAGTATGTGTAGGAAGTTCAGAACTGCAGCTTGTCCTTCAGTCACTGTTTTTCTCTGGTTTGTGTCCAGGAAATTTCCCATGTCTGCAAAGAAAAAAAAATATACTAAGAGTCCCTGAAGTTCTTGTGTCTCTCCCCATTTCTTTTCAGCGGACAGAGAAATAACTGTGTTTTATGATAGTCAGTGGCACTGCTATAATTAGTCAATATGACACTACAGATCATGAGACAGTTTTGATTAATACAGAGTTGGATGAACATAAGGCATAAGGCAAATCCAAGTGCTGCTAGTGCACACCAGAAGTGCATCAGTCAGCAGTACTGCATGGCCTCGATGTTCCTCTGCAATAACTGAGGATTTTTAACTGAAAGTGACATTTTAATGGAGGCATGTTTTGAGTTTGTTTTTAAATAAATCCTTGCACAATATAAAAGAAATTCCTGTGCAATGCAAATGAATGCAAATGGTGTATATAATTTTATCAATTTTTTAGTCACCAATTTTTTTGTTATCCTGTTGTCCATAACTACACAAATAGACAAGCAGCTGTATCACTTGTAGTCCAACCAAAGTATAGTCAGATCTATGCCACTAAGCCATCATACCCAAACGGATACCAAAAGAACACAGCTATTAGTAGCTATTAGTTCTTCTGGCACTATACTGTGATTAAAACAGCGCATCTAGATCTCTGACATTTACAAAGGCATTAGTAGTAATAAAGAGTAGCTTTTAACAAAAATTTTAATGGAAGAAAGAAAACTACAGTTGCAGAACCTCTGAAGGTCTTGTTTCATAGACAAGCTCACGTATGTATGGAGTTCTTGTAAAAATTCAGTGTGAACATTTTCTTCTTGTTTTTCTTTTGCCTTTTGTATCACATTCCTAGCCATTAAAATAAACGGGGCTGTAGGCTCCTACTTATTCACCCTCCAAAGAATTTCTATGCATTTTAATTTGTTTTAAACCAAGAAGCTAACACACACACAGAGAACTATTCTGGTTTCTTCCACTGAAATCCCCCCCCCCCCCTCCTTTCCCTAAACCCCCCCCCCCCCCTTTTTTTTTAAGGACCACAGGGTTCTTTACAAGTTCTCTACTGCAGAGAGGGATGCAAAGGACACTGAAACATAGAAGACTACGATCAGGTTTGTGGATGGCAGGAGATGAGAAGAGACAGAACAAGAGCAGAAATTAAAAACACATGGTATTTTAAAGAAGCTTTAATCATCTTTGTGATTTTCGAGTTATTTATTCAGACATAATCAGCATTGTACTTCCTCTGTTGCTCCATATTTCTTACATCTGTAATCAGATCATCTACTTGAAAAGAAGTTTCAAACCGCGTAGGTGGATCTAATTAACTTCACTGTCATATGATTATTTTAGTCTTCACAACCCAAGAGTTTTTAAGACCATTCTGTAATTAAGATTTACTCACCAGTTTTCTCACAAATATCTGTTCCCATTCAGTTAAGTAATATGTTAGCACGTGTTGAGAACATTTTTTAAAATTATTTAACAAACATCCTGCTACTTCAGAGATCTAGGACATGGAAAATACCTCAGATCTTTCTCTGTGCACATTATAATTGTGCCTTTCAATATTTCACTAGAGATCTTGAGTTTAAGCGTATTGGGAAGCATCCTCTATCCAGTGGCAAAAATAGTTCATTTCCTCTGAACCCTTCTTCCAAGTTAAACAGCTAACATACAGTTCCCTCTAACTCTTGATGACTGGATAAGATTACTTTAGTAAGCCCTTGAAATGTTGCTTTCTGCTATGTTTTTGAGAATAACAAAAAAGTAAAATATGGTAAAATGTCAGGTACTTCCTTATATCCACACAGCTTAAATCAATTAATTTATAGCAAAAATGTTAAAATATAGAAAGCAATCACATAGTATCAGTAGCTACTCTGGGTAGAGGAGAAAGAGAATATTTAAAACTTGTAGAGGACTTTAATTTGTAGGAATAAAGTGCAAGTCTGATTGACAAGTTTCACTATAGAAGCCATATATGTCACTATAGGTTGAATACCAAGGGTCTCCCAAGTCATAAGATCTGCTCTGCTATTTCTCAAGGTTTCTATCAGTGAAAATAAATCAATAAATAAATAGACTGCTTAATTCAGACAGAGAAATCTTAAGAGATAGCTTTTTTAGTCTTGTTCAGCATTGTAGAACTACAAATTAAATGGGGAGAAAAATTAAAACTGAAGTAAACAATTACACTTCTTTCTCAAGAACAACCAAATGCACACACACAAAAAAAGCCTGGAGAAACAAAACACTTCACTGCAAATCTTTCCCTCATTCGGAGGGGAATAAAACTGTCTTTTCAGGACACAAAATTCTTTAGCAGCAGTATCAAGGTAAAGTATTCCTGTGCCTCCTGCTCACTATTGTTCCCACAAGTACTTCCTCAGGAATTGCTCCTCCACTATGCCAGTACAACTGCCTGTACAGCTGTGTAGGCAAACGTGGGGGGAAAGAACTATTTTAACACATTATACAAAATAAATTTTAAAAAAATTTTGGAGAAATTTGCCAGTCCACAGCTGCACAGACAAGTTGTCCGGCTGAGCCTAAAGGGATAGCACGCTACATTGCAATACAAGAGCAGGAACAACTAGTGGGATGGAGGAGAAAATGGGCACGTTTCCCTGGTACTGCTAACAAAGCCTTTGTCCCTGAAACCACAACCATAGATGGAACTCCAGAGGCATCTAGGCTCATCTAATGGCTTGCTGCTGCAGAAAGAGAAGCATCTGGCCCTCACCTTCTCCTGCTCGCCTTGTTGGAGGTCCCCCACCCCGCTCATAGTTCTGCTCACTCACACAAGCTTTCACTAGATCCTCTGCGACCTGATATAACTCACTAAAGCAGAAGAAGAATCATCAGAAAAGTACTTGCAAAGGTCTGATACACGTTGGAGTGAGCACAAGATCAGCAGGAGTATACAGCAGGGGCATAAGGGTTGGTAGGAGGCAGGGAAGGAAAACTCCATTTTAGCAGCAGTGGATTTTTACATTAGCTCCCAGCATCTCTGAAACAATACCACTGAGAGATCAAACATCAAATTTCTGGTATTACTGACTATAGTAACATAATTTACTGAATCCTGAGGAAGAGAAATGTGATCCACGTATCAGATTGCTTACATCCGTTATACAAATCTGTCTTTTTTTAAAAAAAAGATAATCTAATGTTTTTACTTCAAAAAAAGAATAAGGCCTAATTTTATTATTATTTCCAAACAAGTTATTTGGATTATATTTTCTATATATTAACTGAAAAAAAAAAAAAATTAGAACATGTGATCATTTCTTTGGTCATGTTACCTAGCACTAACTCCTGAGAAAATCAATTTAACATTTCCAAATGGAAATTAGATTATCAAATTAGAGGTTAACTCTGAAATATTCTGCATAGTACAAACAAAAGAGGTACAAACATTGGAGGGTTTGGTTCAGAAAGGTGTTGAGAACAGGCTTTTAAGGTTTGATTAGCTGTGAAAAAACTGCTTATTTTGTATCACAAAAATTACAATCTGAAATCTTCATGGAGCTATTCCTACCATACGGTTTTCTTTCAGATATCCTCTGCTGCCCTCTGGGCTTGTTTTGTTTTGATTGACCATTTGTTCTGTGCTACATGGCCTTTCTTAATCCCTGCGTATTCAGGGAAAGGTATAGTAGTTTTCTCATGCTACAGCTATCTTCAAATGATCTCGGTTTGATGGCTTTGAATAGCTCAAAGCTTGCTCTAAAGGCTTAATGTTACCCTGCTTTGAATCGGTTCCCAGAAGATAACTAGAGTAAGCATGAAATTTCTTGTGATGCAATAATTTTAAAATTTATTCTATATGATTTCTAATAACTTTTCAGTCTAGCAAATGTTATTGTTATGTTGGTTTGTTAGCCACAAAAAGAATCAGTAAGCAAATGGATCACAGAAGAACTTCCATTCAAACATACATGCCACTTGAACTTCAGATCTTCTTTGCAGCAATGCCCCCATCCTGTTTCGTACGACACACTGATAAAAGCCAGCATCAGACCTCTGCAAAGCTGGGATGATGTACCTATAAGACAAAATGCAGAATTATAGCACACTTCTTCCTAAAGGCAGATCAATGCTACTTTATGTGGCATTTCTTATTTCTCCTCTAGTATTTTACACATTGACTGAAATGCTTATTGCATTTTTTCTTACAAACAGCATTCTCCTATAATCTCTGATCTTTGGCTACAATATTGTCTGTACTATATAGAAGAAAAAAAATACTTGAAACACATAAAATATCTTTCAGTATTAAGATATACATTTGATAAATACAAATTAGATCTCCATAAGTTCCCTTGAAATACAGACTTAAATGTTTTCCTTAGTTTTACCTGTGCTCATTCATAAGGCAAAGATGCCTAGTATTTTGCTCAGAGGTGGCACAAGGAAACTACAAGCCAAATGTAGGCAAGAAATATCAAAGCTGTCCAATGAAAAAAAAGATGTTTACTACACTGTGTGACTATTGTAGCTGAGAAGAATACTGGAAAAGACACAGTGCACTGTAGGTTGTATTTATTCTGTCCTTCACTATACTTTAAAAGTCACTTAGTCCACTAATGCTCACCTCCCTCATTCAACTATATCTGATTACTCAACCTGAAAATGAGCTGATAGGCACAGTTTTAATGTGAGTAAAACACATGAATAATATAGATAATCCTGCATTAAACAAACATTAATCAAAACACATATTCCCCCGGTCACCTTCTGGAGATATTATGGTAGGATTAATGAAAATCTTTATGAAAAGATAAGGAAAAATAAAACTGCTGAATTTTAATCTTCAAAATTTAATTCCACTAAAGGAAAGCATCTCTTCTCATATGTGCTATCACACCCACATACAGAGCATAATATCTGAACAGGATCAGACAGCATAAAAACAAAGGAGATAGAAGAAATCTAGTTTAAGTGATAAATTAAGACTATAATCACTGCATTATAATTACAAGCAAATACACTATAGCAAATAGGTCAGATGACCAAATACAGTGAATTAAGACAGAGCCCAACAGCATGGACAAATTTTAACAGTCTACAGTGATTCCTAGGAAACTCAGGTTTCTTAAGTATAGGAGTTGTAGGCACTCATGCTGTCGGTGCCTGTGGGCCTAAACTGGTTCCTCCTGGCCTCCTTTGGAGCAACTGCCAAGTTTTCTCCAGGGATTATGACAGATTGCACTGGGAAAATAAGGAAGACTCAAAACAGCACCCTGTTTGGGAGTTACAGTAAACCAAACAATTGGCACACAAATACTTGCTGGCCAGTGAGTGTATAACTCTGAATTAGTCACGTTGCCTCTTGCCTGATGAGTATGCCATAGGATATAGAAAATACAAGCCATAGGAGAGAAGTCAATAGGACATAAGGCTTCCCTAGTTCCTTACAGAATAATTTCCTTCTCTGCCAGGCAGATGATTGTTGCAAAACATCATTACCATTAACAATAAATGTTAAAAAAATTTTTTTGAAAGATTCTGACAAAATAAATATTGTCAATTCATTTTTACAGTTCATTCTACGAAATAGTTTATAGCTTCACAAGCTTTTCTTCCTCCCATAAAGATTTAGTATTGTACTTGGCTAACGTTTATTCCTCTACTTGTCTATTAAACATAGCCAAAATTAAAGGCTTTTTTCTCTGGTATTCATCTGTACTAAGACAGTAATGCAGAGTTGGTTTTTCTGCCACTAGGCCAAAACAAATCAATTAGATCAGAAGTGTCCTACTTCGGTTTTACTTTCTGACTTATTAATGTTTCAGGAGGAAACATTCTTAATATGTTGCCTGAAGAAAAGAAAATCTTTTAAAAGTTTACAGTGAAAATCCCATCTACCTTGGAAATTCCAAGGCAGCCCAAACTGACTGAGCAGTTAGCTTCTCCGTGGACCTACTGGGTAACAATGTGCAGGTAACGCAAGCAAAAGAAGAATTAAAAGTTAAAAAAAAAAAGAGAGATACAATATATTTTTACATTATTTGAGTCTAACTTGAAAATTACAAACCTGGGCAAGAAATAAATAGATATTAATGGAATTTCTAATTCTGTGTTTACAATTTTAAAGTCTTTATGCACCTCATATGTTTGATTATTTTTTTAAATATACTTTTCTATTGACCTAACAGTCAAAATACTGCATTTTGTGCTATGCTTTCACCATTCTACATATTTTCTGATATGCAAGAAGGATACAAATAGTGCTTTCTAAATTCAAAATAAGACTTTCTTCCATTGAATGAATTTCTATCAAAGGTTAATGGAATTTTTTTACAGTGACAAGACATAATTTTGCCTTTTTTTTTTTTTTTTTTTTTACACTCTAACTTTCATGATAGAAGATCTTCCCATTATACAGATGCCAGGAGGCTACTTAAGGTTTCTGGGTATCTGTGCAAGTACTTTAGCAAGTCAGATCAGACAGTTTCTCTGGTTTGAATCATAGAATGGTTTGGGTTGGAAGGAACCTTAAAGATCATCTAGTTCCAACCCCCCTGCTGCAGGCATGGACACCCTCCACTAGACTACATTGCCCAAAGCCTCATCCAACCTGGTCTTAAACACTTCCAGGGATGGGGCATCCACAACCTCTCCAGGCAACCTGTTCCAGTACCTCACCACTCTCACAGTAAAGAATTTCTTTCTAACATCTCATCTAAATCAACCCTCCTTCAGCTTGAACCCATTACCCCTTGTCCTGTCACTACACTCCCTGATAAACAGTCCTTCACCATCTTTCCTGTAGGCCCCTTCAGGTACTGGAAGGCCGCAATTAGATCTCCCCAGAGCCTTCTCTTCTCCCCAACTAAACAATCCCAACTCTCTCAGCCTGTCCT